TATTTCTGGCTATTCCTTTCCCTCCCCCTCAGGTGTTTATTTTATAATGGTAGGGCAGGGAAACCAAGATTCAAAAGACAGCCAAGCATCTTAACATTATTTCCCCCTTTTCCCAATTCCAATCATGTCTCAATCCCTGTATCCCAGAGTCCTGTTGTTCCAAGGTTGTGCATACGTCATTACTTACCTCTGTCCCACTTAGCCCATGCAAACCTGCCTAATTGTTCTCCCATCAGCCTTGTTATTCCATTCCTGTCACCTTTCTTGTATCTTGGCCCCCTCACTAGCACCCAAACTATCCTGTGTCTATTCCCTACCCTGTGTTCCACCTTCCCCTCCGTCTCCTCACCCCACCACCCACATCCAAGTAATTAGCAAAGAATCCCCCACTACCCTTTAGTATGGGTTCTTTTCCTTAGTTTTTTTTATAGTAGTGGTCCTATGCAGTATTTCTCCTTTTGTGACTGACTAATTTTACTCAACATAATATCTTCAAGATTCATCCATGTTATGTTGTGGTTTGCAGCTTCCTTGTTATTCTTCATGGTACCATAATATTCCATTGTGAGTATGTGCCACAGTTTGTTTATCCATTCTTTAGTTGATGGGCAGTTAGTCTCCATCTTTTTGCTATTGTTTATAGTGCTGCTATGAACTTTGGTGTGCATATATCTACTTGTGTTATGGCTCATATTTCTTGTAGGTAAATACCAAGTAGAGGAATTGCTGAATCATAAGGTATTTCTATTTCCAACCTTCTGAGGAAGTGCCATATTGCTTTCAAGAGGTTGGAATGTTTTGAAATTCCACCAGCAATGCAGAAGAGTCCCAGTCTCTCCACATCCCCACCAGCATTTATTGTCCTCTACTTTTTTGATCTTTGCTATTATTGCTGATATGAGATGATATCCCATTGTTGTTTTGATTTGCATCTCTCCAATGGCTAGTGATCATGAACATTTCTTTTATGTTTGTTGGCAGCCTGGATCTCCTCCTTGGTGAAATGTCTGTTCATGTCCTGTGCCCACTTTTTAATTGGGTTATTTGACTTTTTCTTGTAGAGGTGTTGTAGTTTCCTATCTATTTTAGAAATAAGTCCCTTGTTTGATGTGTGATTGCAGCAGATTTTTTCCCATTCTGTGGGCTCCCTTTTTACTCTTTTGGTGAAGTCTTTTGTTTTATTTTTTTTATTTTTAGTATGTCCCACTCATTTATTTTGTCTACTTTTGTTTGTGTAGTTTTCAAAATGTTTGGTAGTCTGTGTATTCCCTGAATTAGTTCCCTCACATTTGTTCCTATTTTTTCATTGATGGCCTTCATAATCATGGGATTCAGATTTAGGTCTTTAATCCACATTGAGTTGGTTTTTGTATAAGTCATGAGGTGAACGTCTTGTTTCAGTCTTTTACAAATTGCTTTCCAGTTCTGCCAGCACCATCTGTTAAAGTGACTATCTCCTTCCATGCAATATATTTAGGTATTTTGTGAAAAATCAGTTGGCTGTATATAGATGTGTTAATTTCTGGATTCTCAATTCTGTTCCATTGATCTATGTACCAGTACCAGACTGTTTTGACCACTGTAGACGTGTAGTAAATTTTGAAGTCAGAGAGTGAGAGGTTTCCAACCTTATTCTTCTTCTTAAGCAATGCTTTGCTTATCTTGGGTCTCTTTCCTTTCCATATAAAGTTTGTAATTGTTTTTTCCATCTCTTTAAAGAATGTTGTTGGAATCTGGATTGGGATTGCATTATATTTGTAAGTTGCTTTGGGCAGTATTGACATTTTCACAATGTTAAGTTTTCCTATCCAGGAGCATGGTACATGCTTCCATTTTTGTAGTTCTCTTTTGGTTTCTTGTAGTAGTGTTTCGTAGTTTCTTTGTATAAGTC